CCCCCATAAAAACCTTGCCCCCCCCCCCATACGGCACAACAACCCAAAAATGTGTAGGCTTGCCCGCCTTCGGAAGGTACATTCCTCGCACTGCTCAACTCTCCTGTGTGTTAGCGTTAGACGCCTCTACCGTGTTCACCTGTATCCGGCGTGAATCACTCAACGCAATAACGAAGACATGGCGTATTGCCCCTTCATCCTGTATTTAAAGAATCGATGACCAGAAATACACACGGCGTCGGTCCATTTGCTACCCAGTTGCCTGTTCGGTTGATTTCTGCTACACAAAGGGTCACTACGAACCGATGAGCTCTTCGCCTACCTCCTTGTTACGACGCTCACCACGGTGGATGCTGTCCGGACACACGACAAGAAGCCGCACGACAGGAAGGCCGCTCTCGCCGGTAAGACTATCGGTTGGGCTGCGCTACACGCAGCCGACGCCAATGCCGGGTATTACTTCTGCCGAACAGATAACTTGTGCGAGAACGTAGGATGCCAAAGATTGATTACCTCATATGTTCATTTTATTCCTGCGAACTAAGCAACATCAGAACCAGTTTAGACATGATAGCGTCTTCCTCCATGAAGAAGCTCACGATGAAGATCAAATGGAGAGCCAAGTGCGGACGCAGCCCTTCAACTGATCGCAGCCTTCCGGACGCAACCGCTGGAGATTTTCTTCAGCGAGCGACTTTCGGAACCGGTTTCACTTGTTCAGAAGATGTATGAGGTGAGAAGTATGACCATCCCAGCCGCGACCCGTATTAGAAATGTAAACATGCATAGGGCCAAGAGGCTACGTCATTACCCCATTGTCAAATCTCTTTGCTATTGTCAAATCTCTCGGAGCCGATTCCGAGACGAGGCCAAATTTTGAAACAGATTCCTATGCGACAAAATAACCGACATCCGGTGCCGCTTCTGATTCTTCGTCACCCATAGAACACGTAAAGTGCAGTATGAAGCCGTCACGTGTTGGCGGGCACCGGCTAAGTCAAAGCCTCGTTGGAACGATTTTCCCTAAGTTTCTTATATTTCCGCCAAGAATTAAGTTGCCGTCGCCTGCGACGAGTCCTGGAAAACAACCGTAGGAACCCGATGAATGGGTCGTTCTGGCCTTGCCACGCACTTTGTGTACAACGGTTTTTGAGGGTCTCGTCGACATGACTCTTCCCGGAAACGCCATGGTGGCAGGAGGCCTCAAGCTCGTGGGCTGGAAGAAGGCTGGCTTACGGTGCAAACAAGTCGGAGCCATTCTGGAGACCGCGGACTTCGTCGACGTCACCAACCATGAGCAACCGGGCGTTCCAATCGTCTACTGCCATGAAAAGGCACACGCGAGCGGTGGAAAAATCCGAGTTCTGTATAGCGTTGATGCCGTCCAAGTCCACATCATTAAGAGCAATGGCGAATCGGAATATTGTAAGCAGTCTTAACTGGGACGGCGTCCTTTGACAGCAATGCGCAATAAATACAGCGTAAAATATATTGAACCGTATGCCAAATTGAGTTCAACAAGCACCTTGATGTCTCGTTGGGTCTTTAAAGCGGTGGTATAGCCATTTGGCGTAGACTTAGACGGGACACCCCCGCCCCCTCCCCTACCGCACTCCGTTCCTCGTTCGTACATTATATTAGCATCACAACATTGAAAATACTGAATGAGGTATGCGAAGTTCACGGGTCACTTCGTCGTCATGTGCCAGTCGTATATGTGTTCCTACTTTCGTAGCTAGCGACAGGTGCATTTATTGCAGCGCTTTGACATGGACGCCCTTATTGGAATTTGGGTACAAACGCACGACGGTCTCCGAAAGTACCGTTTGGCTACGTCGTACTGAGCGTTGCGAGCATTCCGCTATCGCCCAGATAAACCTGCCGGATGGACCTCGAGTGACCGTTGCTTAGGTCTAGCTGCTTCTCGTCTGCGAGGACACCTGCACCACCGTTTGCCGCGGGCGAACGCCGTAGAAGTGAAGGAGCTCCTGGCGGAAGTGACTGCTGAAAGTTCAGCGCATTCATAGTTTGTGTTTGGTCACAGCTTAGGCCTAGACGGCTCCTACTTACCCCTAGGCCTACTTTAACTTCATACACAGGCAGTGACGAGCCTGTCTTGCTTCGGTGTTCTAGGAAAGCCTAACCAGAGAAGGCCTACTGTTATTACGGCCCCGAAGTCAACAGGAAAACAGACTTATGCCGACGTGAGAGCTAACCCAGCAGTTTCTGATATAAGTTGCCGGGTGCCAAAGGCTATACTTTGCCCAACCACGAGGTGGGACTTAATTTCGAAGAGTATGTATACCGCAGTCCCCATACAGC